CATAATCTACTCTGGTGGAAACTTGCAGGCACAACTTGTAGACCCATCTCCTGGCTTAAATGGGAGTAGTAGAATATCGCTCCTGGAAGCAATTGGTCTCACAAGGAGAGCGGCAAAAGAGAGAGTTGCCAGAGTCAAAGCCGAAGAAGCTAACAAGCTAAAGCCACAAGCGAAACGCAACCAGGGTAATGCTCCCCGATCCAAGGGGAAGGAGACTCTGCCCGTCACTACTAGCACTCGAGCGCCACCTGTAAAGCAGGGCAAGGTATCGAATCAATAGAGAGAGCCTAAGCAGTACTCTTTCAAAGAAGAGCATGTAGACACTCTATTTCAGCTACTTCGGAAGAATAACAAGTTGAAGCTCCCCGAAGTCAAGAAGCCTGATGAGACAGGAAAGGTGGACGAACCCAACTACTATAGTTACCATAGATTTGTAGGACATCCTACAAGTAAATGCTATATCTTCACGGATATCCTACAACATCTAGTCGATGCCAATGTGCTTAAACTGAAACCAGAATAGAAGACCATATCCACTAATTTGATATCGGTCTAGTTTGGAGATTTTCCTCCCGTAGCGACCGTAGACGGCGTTACCCCTATCCCTAAGGGAGAAATACACATAAAGAATAATGACCCACACGGTCAGAAGGATAAAGGGTTGGTACCCCTTACCACTCCAAAAGAAGAGATGATGTGGGTCCACCTCGATCTAATTGAAGACCAGCAGTGGACGAGCACATTCTCCAAGAAAAAGAGAGTGCAGTAAGTCAAGTCACATCCACATCCTTCTAACTCTGATTCTGAAAGAGGTAGTCTGCCCAGGAAGTTTGCATAATGCCTTCTCTACGTAACCCCACCACTTGAGCGCAGATCTAAAAATGACACATAAACTCCCAGAAAGTTGCGTAAACTTCAGGATATGTCACCCTTAAGATAGAGAGCTCTTTAGTAGTGGGGATGAACTCCTCATAGGGCATCTTTCTAAATGACAGCCCCGACACACATGCATCTTGTGGAGAGCAAAGCCTAGCTCCCCGATAGGCGTGAAGATGGTATAGCTATCAGGATTATACCACTCTAGCATAGGAAAGAAGTTAGGATAGCTCGAAACGATCCCACATCGGGTGGACAATACTAGAATTGTGAGGCCAGACTGAACAAGTGACTCCTTGAGTTCTTCAAGAACGAAGTTCACCATTAAGGTCCAAAACCAACCACCTTCTCCTGAATATACCCATCCAGGGGACCTGAAAGCTTGCGCAGGGAATTCACCCCGGGCAATAACGAATTGGCAGATGAAAACGTTCATCGGAAGGGGAATCTCTTGAGTGAGATCTTTTTTTTCAAATCTACCAGGTCTCAGACCCTTGATTTGTCCATCAATCTGTATATGAGCTCATCGACTAAATCCAAGCGATACGTTCTCCTTCTCCTTGACAATGTCAAAAGCCAAACTCCTATGGTCGCTGACACTCAGAAAATAGGAGAGCGGATAGATTCTCTTCATACTCGGGAGAGAGAAGAAACTAGCCTATGATAAGAAGCTATGCAACCTCTTGGATGAGTACATACAGATTCTAATCGTTGTCACTAATAACACTAAATTGGATCTCTCGCACAATTCTTCCTTTCAGTGGTTTAACATTCCCACTAAGATTAACAAGGATATTATTAAAATCATTACCCGTGATGAGATGATCAAGAGAAGACAGCAAGAGATAGAATATAAAAATTTTCCTCTCCGGTACCAGGTTCATCTTTGCTCCAAGAGAAGACAAGCAGAAGATAGAATATAAAATTCTTCCTCTCCAGCACCGGGTCCATCTTTGCCCCAAGAGAAGATACAATCTTTCAACATCTAAAATCCATGCCTCACACACATGAGAAGAGATAAGTCTGCATCTAACACATGCAGCTGGGTGGTCCTCTCTCACAAAAATAATCGAGTCTACGTATTCACATCGTAGAGACAAAAATCCATGTCTTTCATGCATGGGGTACTTTATCTCGATCCCTAATCAAAGATAAGCCTACGCCTAACATGCGTTGCTTGGTGGTACGTTCCTGTGAAAGCAACAAAGTCTATATATTCAATATCATAGCACCAAGCATAAAAGAGTTTATTCTTTTAGCACAACATTACATGTGGAGCGGACTTAGATAATTCACATGCTAGTCCGATTTCAAACGGTAGTCGGTAAAGGCATATTAAATCCGTTGATAGCTGAGAATTTGTTAAAAATCCTATTACGTTATAGGTCACCAGTATACAGGTCCTGTGCAGCAAATCTCTACTATCAAGTTCACGATACCTTCAAAACAAATATAGTGAACCATCACTCAACATATCTCAAACCAAATTGAAGATCCAAAGTATTCTAACATTGACAATGGAAGTTACAATTGGAAGATTACAATAGATAACTTATCCCCATCAAACACTGACAATGGAAGTTACAATCTAACGACTCCCACATTGATAATTCAATAGTGAAAGTTACAATCAAATGACTTTCACATCAGCAAATGAATGCTACAATTGGAAATTTTTTATGTAGATCGAGAAATGTTACAATTTGATAACCTTCACGATAACCGATGAAAGCTCTGATTCAATAGTCTTCACAAACAACTGCGGGAGTTACAATCTGATGGCTCCCACATTTCAAAGAGCTAAAACGAAGATTACAAAATGATGATTTTTACAACATTCTACATAAGAGATCACAAGTCAACAATCTCTTTAATCAAAACATAACACTCACCTCTGTGTTTTAAGAACAAAATGCAAGATTCAGCCTTGCGTTCCTAGTTCGAAAACGTAGTGCAACTACTGTGTTTTTTTACCCTGACGCATATCTCAACTCTACATCCCATCCATTGGATCCAGAGTTCGTGCCCAGAACATCAATTTTGGTGTTTGACTCGTTCAAATATATTTGAACGGTTCCAGAAACCGTTTTCTCCCCACGACTTGAGGGATTTCCGCCCTACTTAGGAGCAGATTAAGGGGACGGTTACACCCCTTAATTCTCTTATAAATACTAGAAACTCAATTGAGTTCGAGGGATTTCGGATTAGAACTTTAGAAAAGAAGTTTGGCATTCACCCTCGGAGATATGAGCATCTATTCTTCAGCAACAAAGATCCTTGGAGTAAGATCTTGGCCTAAAACTGAGGTTCAAATAAACTCTTTTACAAAGTTTAAACTTGCTCTGAGTTCTAAAACTCGTTAAGAGTTATTTTTTAAACTTACCACGCAAGTCCTCCTTAACATCAATCAAGAGGAAGAAACCGAGTTCCATGAGCTAAAACGTTCAGATCATCAACGGAAAGCAAACTCAACGCAAGCATTCGAGGGAGGCATTCCATCGACACCAAGAAGAACCCAATTTTAAACAAAGGAAATGATTTCCGTCGATCTTTCTCTCTTTTATAAATTCAGAATCCGATACAAGAAGATTGTAATTTCTTTTTCTAAGTTTGTTAGAGAGGGATTGCATTAAGAGAATTGTAATTAATTCTTTTTCTAAGTCTGTTAGAGAGAATGCTAAAAATTCATTTTTCTCAATTTCTTCTTTTAATTTTCCCACCAAGCAATCCCATTTGTAAATCCTCTCCTAGTTCTCACTTTAACTTCCAAAGTACTTCTTTTCTATCTCGTATCTCCATTCCCAGAGAGGATGCTTGAACTTTCCCATGTATCCAAACAAAAAAATCCCACCCTACGTGATTGTCTTCAATGTTGAAATATCTCTACAGATTGACACATAGATAAGTAGGGCAATTGACTTGAAAAGTAAAATAAATGAGGAAAATTAGTTTAATATAACCAACAATCTTAATATATACTCTCCAAGATATGAAAGGGTTGCTTCTCAGCCTAAAAAATGGATTAACACAATCACTCCTTCGTACCAAATATTTAAGATATGAACTAAAGTTATTAGCTCATTATATGGTTGGAAGCCCGCTATTTCCCCACCTAAGAATTGCACGAAAACCATTCAGTGGTTACTTTTTTAAAGCTCACTTCCTTTGCATCCTTTTTTCATGAAAATTTTATTTCCTACAATAATGGAAAAGTATTTTTTATGCACCATAATAGTGGAAACTCATATACACACACGCGCGCATGCGCGCTCGGCCTCTTGGCTATTTAACAAGAAAATAAAATCTAACTACAAGCATAGAAATAAATCTAAACTAATAAGCAGTAAAAAAAAAAGAAATGCAAACCTTCAAATAATTCTCCATCTTCATCTTCATCTTCATCATCCAATAAAGAGAAGAAGAGAAAAATTTAAAGTGGTAAAAAAATTATTATTATTAATTGCAACAAAAAGTTATAATTTTGGAAGGCCTTCTCAATTAAGAGTAGCTCTCCTCTCCAAAAGGAGTTACAAAAATTTTCACGCCTCTTACCCCTCACTCTCTACCCCTATTTATAGTAATCTTCAATGAATATGAGCCATTGGATTTGTCTTGAGCCCCAAGACAAGCAAAATCAGCCATTGACGCGCGCTACAGTAATCTGGTATCGATGCCGACATCGATGCCCACTATTTCCAAATTCTGATTTCACGGATAGCTTCGTCTCGTCGAGATAGGTGATTTTCATATATTATATGTTAAATTCCGCCTTCCGGATTAGGAGATATCGTCGTTTCTTTATGGCCAACCATTTTGAATATGATTTCTTTTCATATTGGATTTTTGATTTTCTCCGGCTTCTATACTTTTCGCACCGTTCCTGTGCGAAAAAGAAATCGGACCGTTGGATCTTCTTGAACACCACTGGCCATTGGATCTTCTTCCCCAATTCCCAAACAATCACCCCGTACCCCGCCCTCTCTCTCCCCAGAACCCAAACCCTCTCCCTCCCTAGATCCCTCTCTTCTCTCCTTCTCATCTCTTCACGCCGATGCCTTCAGCCCTCCTCCTCCATCATCATTTCTCGCCGTCGAGCTCCTCCTCCGCGACCAACCCTTCTCCTCCATCATCATTTCTCCTCCATCATCATTTCTCGCCGTCGAGCTCCTCCTCCGCGACCAACCCTTCTCCTCCATCATCATTTCTCGCCGTCGAGCTCCTCCTCCGCGAGCAGCCCTTCTCCTCTGCGATCTCGCCTTCAACCTCCTCCGCCTTCAGCCCTCCTCCGCGATCTCGCCGTCGAGCTCCTCTCTCTCTCCTCTTCTCTTTGCTCAACTGAGAAACCCCCAGGTTGGACCTCTTTCCATTTTTCCTCTTTTTTAAGGTTTTCGTGCCTTCAATTCGAATCAGTTATGATTTTATCTGAAAACTCCTAATTGATTTCAACCCAAAAAAAAGGAACAGAAGGAACAAGAGGGTTAGTAAAGGCTCAAAAATTAAATTTTGGTATATGCTACTCCCCTCAGAACAACACAACTTTACAGCAAAAGTTAGTTTGCTATCCTTCAGTTGACGCAGTTAGTATTACTGATGATGACTGATTGAGTTTGAGAAAGAAAAGCTTGTGTGCTACTAGAGTAGATGATGAAGTAGAAGAGGTTCGTTGATTGGAGGTAGTTTTTGATGGAGCAGACAGAGCTTTTAAAACAGTGAAAAAGAAAAAGGACATGACAATTAAAACAGCGCCAGTTATTATATTTACATTACAGTATGAAAATCCAAATTCATATATTTCACTGCTCAATGTGGTGCTCAGAAGCAGACCACAGAGGTTAATTGATACAAAATAACTTTTGACCATATTTATCCTTCGCCAATATACAGTTTCAGGTCTAACTTGTTTGATGCTTAGAAAGTTAACATGGCTTGTTTGATGCTTCTTGTATCCCCTTTTCCTTCCACTTGTATCCAGCCTTTTTCATCTTCTGTTTTGAATAAGTGATGAAAAGTAAGCATCGTCTAACTGAACTGGTTGACTAGTGTAGGTTTTATACTTTGTGTTCTGGAATGCGCTATACGTGACCTCTTAGAAATTTGTTTCTTGCACTGTACCTATTACTCAATAGTATTATAAATGATCTTTAATATTGTGATGAAGCAGAGAACAAAACAAATAAGTGATGAAGCACTTTGTTAAGTTCTATATATGGCTTTGATGACAGATATAGTAGAGAACAAAACAAATAATGTGATTTTTATATATGTGATGAAGCACTTTGTTAAGTTCCCAAACATATCACTATTGGTTTAATAGTTTTCGTCTTGCCTCCCTCTTTCGCAGATACTTGATAGCTTCAATATTGTCGCGGTGATCATACTGGTTGTCGCTAAGTTCCCAACCATGCACAAAGTCCGTCTCTTTGGAATCAATTCTGGTCAATAGTAAGCTTGTGTAATGTTGAAGATATCATCTTTGTAAGCTTGTGTAATGTTGCGGATATCTTCTTTGTAAGCTTGTGTAATGTTGCGGATATCTTCTTTGTAAGCTTGTGTAATGTTGCGGATATCTTCTTTGTAAGCTTGTGTAATGTTGCGGATATCTTCTTTGTAAGCTTGTGTAATGTTGCGGATATCTTCTTTGTAAGCTTGTGTAATGTTGCGGATATCTTCTTTGTAAGCTTGTGTAAGGTTGCAGATATCACCTTTGGTATCTATTTAATTTATGTGGAATTAATGCGTAAAGAACTTCAAGAAATGTTATTGTGCTGTTTTCTGATGAAAGAATGTCAGTAGAGGTTCATCCACGTTATTCTTATACTCTTTATAATCTCCTTATTTTCTATTGCTAGAGCCAAGGATCAATTGACTGAGAGCAAGCATGTTATAGGTTATGTACAACTTTATGTACCTCTGATCAAATAAAACTTTGTATATAAGCTTTTATGTCAATTACTGTATTAATTTTCCTCTTTGGTATTTGATGTCACAACTTGCTGGGGCAGTAGTAAAATTGGAGTATAAATTCCTTCTTCTTACCTTCTATTTTTTATTTAAATAACTTATTGGTCATCACGCTCCAGATTTGTTAAAAAGCATTGTTCGAATTGAAGGCCTAACATTTTACTGCTGGGGCAGTAGTAAACTTTGTATAACAGCATAAATTCCTTCTATTTAAATAACTTGACATGCAATAAGAACCCTATTACTCAAATACAAATCTTACTCATCCAATAATACATTCTTACACCCTACTTAGCACAAATCCAATAAAAATACCAAATACAAATCCAAGAAAAATACCAAATAAAAGAACAAATACAACAAGCTTCAAACCAAATACAAATCCAAGAAAAATACCAAATAAAAGAACAAATACAACAAGCTTCAACAAATCCATAATACCAATCTCAATCTCTCTTTTCTCACACTTCTCCACTTGACACGGCACTTGAAACTTGCGGCATCACGCTCGACTGCTTAGTCTGAACAAGCCCTGCCTTTGAACCTTCAAACTCCTCTTCATCAGACACCCATTTGAAGAAGCCACAATTACTCACTTTTCAAATGTGGAGGGTATAGCCCTCCTTCCACAATGGCACATCAATCCTAAGTGTTTGAAGATGACTTCATGATCCACGGCTACAGATCCAGAAGTTTGCATAATCATATAAATCAAAACTTATATTAAAACCCAGTGCAGAGAGTTAAAAAGATCAAAGCATAAACAGACACTCAATTAACACGACCGCCATCACCAATTTTAATATTTGTACTTGAACGAGTGTAAGTTTCCAACTTCCTCCAAAAATTTGGTTTTCTGTAGGCCTCGCTACTCCTCTGTGCCATTCATTTCACAACACACCAAGCTAATTAAAGCCTATTACGTGACCAAGATCTGACATAATTTATTTTTTTCACTTGCCATTCTTTCTCAAGTTAACTGACATTTCTCTACATTTCA